AAGCAGTGGTATCAACGCAGAGTACTGTAAAGAAAGAGAGAAACTGAACTGGTGAAAACCAACTTTTCGAGAATCTCTTGTTTTTTCTTTACTTCAACTCTTTTCACGCGGTTTTTTCGTAAATCAATAGATTTTTCTTCTGTATATAATGCAACGTCGCTTCTTCGATTATGGGGATTTTTTTGTAAAAATCGTAAATAGTGGGATTTTCCTTTACCTTGCCCTCTTTTAGTTTTTTCTCGTTGATTTTAAGCAATGGCGAACCGAAATAATGCATATCATCAAACGCGCCTTTTGATTTCGAACCCAACTTTTTTATCTGCTAAGCGCTTCTTCAGAAGAAGTTATGGGCCTTTTAATATTCTTCCCTTGTCAGAATAATGAGCACAACAATCCGGACAAGTTCCCAGTAAAAAGGAAAATTCCGAAGATACATTCAAAATCAGAGGGGCATCTGACGTGCGTTTCGACTTAGTAAAACGAAACTTTGCATTTTCATAGCTAATTCATTGTTTATCATCTAGTTATTAAAAATGACCACTTCCAACTTGTTTTTTTACAATTACAAGAAAAAATCAATTTTCTCGTTTATACCTGTGTTGTGGATTGCCTGGTCCTGGAGCGAGAACCTGCAATTCAAAGTGCCGGCATAGGAACGATAATTTTTTCCGACTACGCGTTTAACTTTCCGTCACGAAAGCTCTCATAACTCCTCGGCCAGAGGCGCTCATGCGGAGTGTGGCGGGGAGGGGGGGAGGGGGGAGGGAAAGATCATATTGAGGGGTCAAGATAAGATAGTTGTTTTCGAGGTGGTACTGATTAACAATTATGGTGTTCGTTAATAATGTCAGATAGGCATTATGCAAAGTGTCCCATATTCGAGTCTCGATGAATCTTGGCATATCGTTGTAAATGCTGTTGTTGCTATAGCCGGCACCAAGATTGTTAAACCGTTTATTCGGCTAACGTTTCGGCCTAGTCGCCTTCGTCCTTCTTGAAATAGTAGGTGATGTAGGTACAAACTTTCTTGTACAATGGACTGTCATATCGAGAAGTCCTAAAAAAGTCTTTCTTTCTGGAGAATGATTGATTGTATATGGCCAGGGTATGTAAGATATCCAATTTTATGAGTTTCGAATAGATTGCATGCTGCCATCAGTTTGTTTATGATACTACAGAATCTATAGTGCACATCGGAAGGATCTGTATATGTACTGATCAGAGCAATTTTTCCAATCGAAATTATCTAATTCTAGGTTCATAAAGACGAGTATATGGGATGAATGTGCTTTTTGGAATGTTGAAGTTATAGCAAAACTCAATTACATTATGATCAGACGTCCCAAAAGGTGCAGAAACCGACAGCATATTAATGGATACGTATATCATACTAGTGAACCATAATCAAAGGTGCTATTTGCAACAGCGTTGGCGTCGGGACCGCCACGCGGTTTCCCGCTATTTGCACATTTTTGAATTGCGCTCACGATTCTTTTTATATTAGAGCGTTTCCAAAAATTCTTTTTTTGGCATTTTTTGCCATTAATGAAACTGATCTTTATCAATCGCTATCACATTAGTTCCAAAGCTTCGCGTAAAAACGGTAAAACTCATTTTTTTACGCGGTTAGCAGCATGCGGTTATCAGGAGCGAAGCTGCCAAAGGTAAGTATAATATAATACTTGCTGTGCGGTGTATCCCTCGCTCGGTTTACCATTGGAACGGAAGTAACTGGGTTGCGTGCTCTTTGAATATCCTACTCAGACATTCGCAGTTGTCACCCGCAGGTGGATCGCCCACAAAATGGCTGATCGCACCAAAACCCGTGCACCGGCGGGAAACATGATAGTTTTACCCGGATTTTACCGCGATTTTGCCCCGATTCGCGGATTTCGAAATATCGTCAGCTCCATTTATCGTTTTCCTTTTGGTTTTGTTGGTCGACGGTTAATCTCTTGTCACCTCTTTTTGCTCGAAACGTGATGTATCTCCTCCATTTTGATATAATAGTCAAAAGTAGCAGATATTTGGAATATTTCATTGCAGCCCACACGGCCGATGAAGAACATTCACGATGGGCGTACTCGTATGATGGTGACAATGATTTCGTTGAAGCAGTAGATAATGAAGAGGAACCATCAGTAAAGTTTCTCACATTCAGCTTCCAATGTCGACGTCTGAAAGGAAATGAGGAAATGTCTGACGACGATGAAGAGGCTGAAATGAGCTGGATGAAATAGTGGAGGAAGAAGTGCGTAGCTGACAAGATGGTGGGCTTTTTGAACCATCAAATTCATTTTGCGAAGATCATGATTACACATTTTATAGAGACTTGGAATGGATTGTCTTCCGATACTAAGGATGGAACACGGTTACTACCCTTGGTAGACTACATTCTCATTTTGACCAAGATGATTCAAAGCAATTGTACATAGACTGTGCAACGCATATTTATCTGCCATCAAATTTTCGAAGCTATCATAACACAAGTTAGTCTGCTGTCGCAGATCTCAGATCTGGAAGGGTTTATAGAGAAGAATGGTGTTGAAAAGGTACATGTAATTCAGTGAGAATATTGAGTGGCTTAATTATCTGCTTTTAGATTTTTTCGCTGCAGTCTACCCTCTCTTGCAGCAGATTTGGCTGCGAGCACATTCTCCACTAATGTCGGTAGTATTGTCAAATTCGTTTTGGTGAGTGTCCAATTTTTTCAGAAGTGGTGTTCGCAACACTGACACCAGTTTTTTATCGGCTATCCAACACTCTTTCAATTGTAGAAACACGCAAAATCTGGAGACAAACTCATGCTTACAATCGTGGAGGTATTCTTGCAATGTAAATCCAATCCCAGTCGCAGTCGAGTCTGGGATGCTTGGCTGACTGATACTGGTAAGAGGTTACATGTAGGATTCCGCAAGTGTTCAGTGTGACTCTCATTATCAAGATAAAATAGTCGCTCTGTATTTTTGATACTGGTTTTGATTTGGAAATAATCGCTGCACAAGATTCAAGATCTGAAAACTATTTTTCTAGGTGGCTCGAGTATTGTCTTGGGACCTATTCAACATGGATGTGCCTGCTTACTATCTTGATGCTGACCGAGCAACTCTCCTGGCGTCAAAGGTAAAACTTTTCTCTTTAGAAGTCTACGCTGTTGATGCTGATGTTTCTCAGAAGAAGCGCAAATGACATCTACCGTGAGCACTGATTTGAACGTTATCGAAGTAACGGAATCCGCCAACATTGTAGTCAAGGAAACGGATGCGAACGATACATATTAGTGCAATTCCAGTGTTTTTTGTGAAATGTTTTTTCGATGTAGTTTTTTTAATTTTGCGCTGCTGTAGATTTTTCCCTACCATGAAGTTTCAAATAAATACTATAGCATGATTTGTGAGTAACAGTGAAAGAAGACAGCACGGTAAAAGTGGGAGACACAAGAGCAGAGTATATACTATATACTTGTGTGTTCCACTATATGTATACTTCCGCTACATATATATATATATACATAATATGTAATAAATAATATATACATATATACACTTATGAAGGTGAACCATAGCTTAAAGTAAAGATCGGGGCATTATGATGTCCCCCGCAGGCCACCCGATAGTGACCGGAGAATGCCCCGCAATCTTTCTTGCCCCGATGCAAACACAGGTGTCCCAATTTTGTCCCGACACCGATTTCGTGTGACGCGCATTTGGTCAATGAGATAACATCATAACCTGCGGGTGACAACTGCGAATGTCTGAGTAGGAAAATTTTGCGAAAACCTCACAACTGTCAACAAGCAGTAGACATCAAACCTCGCTCTCTCTTGGGTTAAAAGCAGCGTCCCGCCAGGCTGGGGGTCACCTGGCTCTGTGGTAATATAATAGTAGACCCCCTAGCTAAGCAACGACAGAAGTTTGAGCGCGAAAGGGATTCCACGAAGTCTACAATTGCCCCCCCCCCAAGCGGCCCAGATCTTACGGTAGGCTCGGACGAGTAGGAGATGCATGCAAGCTAGAGACGCAGAGTCGTTGTGGGACCTGCATTCACGACTGTGTGCGCTACTCAGACACTCGCGGTTGAGTCGCGCAGGGGATCCGCCCACAAAATGGGCGTTCGCAGCAAAATCCGGTGGACCGGCGCGAGTCATCATTTTAGTTTCGCCCGGATTTTGGTGCGATTTTGTCGCGACGGGCGAGGAGATTTCGAAATAACGCATCTATACGTCGACGTATTGATCAATTCTTCCCCGTATTGTTGCATTTGTTTTTTTTAGATGAATCTATACTTAGCAAAGCATGTCTTTCCAGAGACGTTCCATGCCGATAAAAACGGCTTAGACCAAAGAGAGTCAGCTTGAGACGCTCATTCCGAACGCGTCCTTCTGATCACACGGCCATTATGTGCGTTGATCATCATCCGGAAGTAAAGGTGAACCCTTTCTCTCCTTCTAGAAGTTATATTTCATTCTTAGATTGTTTTGCTTGCTTACTTTAGCTGATTACTGGACTTTGAGTATTTATGCTAACGTGTACTATTTTGATTTTCAAGCGCTTTTACGAAAACGAATGGGATGACGATTTTGCGTTGCGATCCCCGAAGCCAAGAAGGGAACGCCGACCTAAGCATAACCCTGTTCTTGAGGAGGTCGGAAGAGTTTCCGCATTATGATTACCATGATTCACCTATGATATAAGCTCATTCCAGGATATTATAGAAGAGGAAGAAGAGAATGTTAATGACAATGATGAAAGCCGCGAGAATGTCGATCCACAAGTGGATAGTGATCTTCCGGCCGTGCAAGAGCTGAATGAGAAGGCATGTTTTATTTATGAAACTGAGAAAGTAATGTTCTTCTTTTGCGGTTGCTCATTTCTTGAAATGGTATGAGCTTACAAGACAGTCATTTTCGAAATTTTGGAGGTTATGCGATTTTTGAACTGCGGTTGCTTGTAATGCTTTTTCTGAACTTCTTAAAGCAGATTTTTCATCACATGAAGGATGTCATCTACGGTTCAACTCTGTGCAAAAACTGGCATCAATATTGCAGGTTCCAGTTCCATATTATTTAGAGTACACAATTCCAGTTCAAAATTTAGCTGGCATAGCTCACATTTATCATACCGCATCTCACGAGTTTAGAAAAATCACTCATTTGACTCTCGCCTTTTTTTTCAGTGATTTGTACTCAATCCTCATTTGAGGAAGATGAAAGAGTTTATGCACATTGTTCATCCCGCACGTCATTATTTCTGACAGTTGGCTTAGCCGGAATTCGGAATTTACTTAGAAAAATTTGATGTGTAGCAAGACTTGTAACCTAATATTATCGATTGAAATTCGTGCAAACAAGTATGGCATTCAGAGAAAAGAACATGTGCATGGACATTGGGAAATACCTTCTTGATCTAGAATGCCATAGCCGAAGAGTGGTCATTGTACATAGAGAGTGAAGACGGTGAAAGGATGAAAGCAGTTGGGAACAAATTGGTGGCTTACGAGACATACACAGGTCACAAGGCCACAGGTAGATTGTTTTAAACTTTTTATCAAAAAGATTCTTGCGTCATTGTTTTGACCTTGCACTTGTTTCAGCGCACTTATTCCCAAAACGAGAAAAGACACCTCCACCATCTGAAGAAGAGGTTAAGGCTCTGGATCGCGCGAGGTGCGATTCTTATTGGGCCCACGTAGATAGATTCCTCGGTCCAGTAAAGAAGAAAAGTGAGTGCTTTGAGATTTTTCATTTGAACCTACAATTTTCTTTTGCTTGATTGATGAGGTTTCCTCAGTCAGTGAGGGAGAATGTGTCGAGAAACAACGCGCTTGTATTGCAGACAGAAATCAGTGAGCTGCAATGGTTTCTATGACGCATACTTAATACTTTGAAATTCACTGTCCGTATGAGAAATTGATGAGACTTAACGAATTCTGTGAAGCTGTACGAGCGGCGCAGACTCTTGGATTTGTACTCTCCAATTTTTCGCATTCAAAATGTTCAAAAATTGATCGTCTTCTTTGTTTCCTTACTCATTTGCGCAAAACAATATTCCGATAGAACGCATCGATTTCCTTTCCTTTGCGTGCCTGATTACAACTCAAATTCATGCGTGAGCTATACTTAAACATAGTGTTTCTTCTAATAGGTGAAAAATGAGGATGAATTTATCATTTGTTCTCTTTGCTATAGCACGAGTCTCTCGTACGATGTATAAGCGCATAATATCTTGCACAATCAGCTTTCTAATCATTTTGACCTAGAGTTTTTGTTCATTCAGTCTAATCTCACACTTGATCAGCTCCCGTTCGACCTACAATCATGCATCATGCTAGTGGCACAAGCTTTCGTGCAGAAAGTGCAGCGATTGAGAGAGTTAGAAAAAACAACATGGTCTTTAGGTTTGTGACTCAAATTTCACGCTGTGGAGCAAGTAAGAACATATTCATTTATTATGCGACTTACATGTGTTTCAGCTATCGAGACAATTGAAGAGACCCCCGAAATGCTAGATGCTGAGTCAGCTTCTGTTGCAAGCTATCAACAAAGATGTAGTGAAGCATCAACGGCTGTCCACTCCGTTACTCCAAAGGTGAACAACCTTTATTTACCTTTATCAGCGGGAATGCTTGCTTTTTCAGAGCCGTTTGCAATCAACGGATGGTAAAAAACAGAAACCCTCCTTGTTGACTGCTAGTCTTTTGGATCTAGGTTTGTTTCTATCTACTAGATTGGAGAAAAGAATGTGGCTTTTTCAAGTTTCTGGGTTGAAATCAGTACTCTCGGAATAGAGCACGTACAAGGTCGTGATTTTAGATATTGGTAGAAGTCTATCCTCGTGTTGTTAATGTAACAGAAGTGTTCTCTTGCGTCTGTTGTCTAGCTCATGCCACAAAACCCAATTCAGGTTTATCTTGCTAGGGACAACTCGAGATGTTGCGAATTACGTTCGAATTAGTACATTACTTTCAATAACTGATTTAGGTTTCATCCTTGACGCCCTTGGCCTACACCGCGACCAACTTCTGCGGACGCCAGACGAGCATAAACGGAATCCAAATAAGTATGTATGTTCTCGAAAGACCTTCACGTGCACTAGAATTTAGGTGGTGGTTGGACTTAGCCGAAAATGACGACGCTCGCAAAAAATTATTCGACGTCCTTTCAGAGGAAAGAGTAGTATGGAGCGGTAAAGCGAGGATAGCAATTGGGAGAGCTTTGTGAGTTTTCTCATAAGGAAAGCGATCTGAACTATATTTTTGCAGGGAAGACATCCGGAGGTATCATTTTGACCCTGATAGGTCCATGCTCCTTCCATCAAAGATAATTCGTTTGTTTTATACGATCCTGGTAACAACAATTTTTTATTTTCAGAAAAAGCGCGTCATGGTCGAAGGCAGCAGTGTTACCAAAGAAGGCGTAACGATCCAGAAGACTGAAAACGTTGAAGATGAAGATGAAGTAGTCGTAGATTGATGCTGTTGTCATTCTTAACCGTAGTTCTTTCGTAACCCTGTCGTGATTGCGGTGCTTTGATTCCTGTCTCATTTCGATGTTATTGTAAACGCTACTCGAGAAGATCATGTGGTATTTCCTAATAAATTTTATGACGTAAGACTGGGTTTATCAGCAGAAAAGAAACAAGCGTGGGAAACGGGACCCAACGTGACCAAGGACTCAAGGTAAGTCAAAAGGAAGGCGTGAGAGAGGGCTTAGAGGACGCAAAAAGCTGTCAGTAAGGGCGTAGGCCGCGTGCTCTGAACGCGATCGCGACATTTTGGTGTCTCGCGCAGGTGTTCTGATTTTGCCCCGATTTTGCCGCGCACTTTTGCCGCGACACAAAATCAGGTGTCCTGATTTTGCCGCGACACCGATTTCGCGAGTCGCCCACGCATTCAATGGCTACACCTCGTTTTGCCCTGCGCGAGTCAACCGCGAGTGTCTGAGTATGCGTGCATTGGCCTGGCAGTTCGAAATTGATCTGTGGGCGACTTTCGGACCTATCGTAAGATTCGGGCCACTTGGGGGGGGGGGCATTTCCTAGACTTCATAGACCCCCTTTTGCGCTGCAAACTGTCATCGCTTAGTTAGGGGGTCTTCTATTACATTAATACAAGAGCCAGGCACTATACTTGGATAAAATCAAAAATAATCATCGAATGAATGAGTGTCGAATAAATTCAAAAATGAAAAATTTCGAATAAACGATTATCGAATAAACCTCGGAAATAAAAAAATCTCGAATAAACGAATATCGAATAAATTCATGATTTGAATGAATCTCGAATAAAATCGGAAAATCAAAAAAATCGAATAAATGAATATCGATATTCGAAAATTGGGGGTCGAAATTCGAGTAAATATTCGAATGATTTATCGAATAACTAAAGCAATCAGATCTAACGCTATTCAATTCTTTGCAGGTGAACGCATGTCTTCTAGGTCATCTGATAGAGCTTTTTCTCTATTCATCCATATGCAGCTTATCTCGGATTTTATCTATCTTCGGAAAATGTAGGACAAAACATGATTTTTTGGTATTTTTTGCGTCATAAATAGCTATCTTTCAGGTTGTTTCGCCTTCTTTTCTGAAATTGAAAAGAAATCTTATGCGTTTAACATATCGTTGAAAAGAGCATGAAGAGCTCTTTTGAATGGTATGTCATTTGCTTTACGACTTTACGGTATAGCAGCGCAAGTTTGAGAATTGTTCCAAAAACCCTGTCTGAGTTCTTCATGGCGCCACGCGTACGGTTATGAGAGAGGAGCGGTAACGCGTTGCCAGAATAATAGGCGAAGATCGTTTATGTAAGCGACGTTTGAGTTGTAGCCTGCTTGTTGTTGTTGAGAACAAAAACCTCAAAATGTAAAAAAACAGCTATCCCATTTTTTACCGTTCATCTAATACATCAATTCGCGAAAAATCTTTAAGGTAAAGAACAGAAGCAGTTGTGTAGCACGAGTTTTATAATCAAAGTGCTCACTAGTGTGGATTTTTGCCTTCCAAAAGCATGAGCAATGTAAAGAAAGCGAAACAGGCATGTCAACACATTTCCAGAATATAGTCCCGGAACATGAGCTTGATTTTGATCGCTGTTTTTTTTTGTTGATTTGGTGTCAATAGCAGTTTGAACTATCTCATCAATCGAAAAAGCATCAATCAAAATCCATAATCAATACCTGTTTTCTTATCGTCACAAGCAGTAGGAGGAATGCAACTTTTCATACAATTAAAAGGTCATCACATTCTAAAAAGATGCATTACCGAATTTTGCGGAAAAAACGCAGACGAAGCGAGTTTCATTTCAGCAGTTCGCTCTGCATTATATTGAATTTTTTATTCGAATGATCGAATTGCTATTCGATTTGGACCCAATTATACCAGGCACCCCCAATCTGGTGGGACGGTGCATTTTTAACGACACAAATAATTCAACTGCTACAGTTCTTGATGACTGACTCGGCTCACAACTTTCACCAATTCTGTCGATGATCACATTGTGAACCTTATAGCAAGTAAAACTCCCAAGTATTTGAAGCAGTCATCCTACCATTTTGTATCTAAGCGGTTTTTAAAAAGAGATAGATAGATATTTTTTTAGAGTTACGACTCTTATGAGATCTTTTGACTCGGGCATACATCACGCGATCATCACCTCGCGATTTATTCGACAAGTTGTGTGCGTGCTGTTGTTGTTGAGTTGCGAGTCTATTACATGCCACTTTTGCATTTGCTGTGACCTTCTCCAAAGCTACTAATCGTGGTAAATTATACAACGAAGTTTGGACGAACACATACAATAGACTCGTTACAATTGTCGTGTCGGAAATATCGCGAGGCGATCAAGACAATGCGAGGCGAGACAAGGCGCAATGCATGTCTAGCCCTGTAGGCGAACCTGGTTACAGTTTTTAGAAAATGACCATTTATATGTTACTAGCTGGCATTCCCAGCCTTACCCGAGAGTTGTCTCAGTTAAGTTTGCAAAGGAGCAGGCTCTCCTGCTATAGCCTTGTGACGCCGCATCCCTTATTGCGAAATGAGAATGAATCTTCCCACCAATGTTTACGCTGAAGTGTTTGGTAGCAAATGAGAATAATTCTTTTCATGTAAAGTGCTAAAAATCAATAAATCAGTAGAATAGCTCAACCAATCGCCGCAAAAGCTAGCCTATCACCTGCGCAGGGATCGAAACATAGGTGCGATAGGGGGAGCCGGGCCCTCTCCAGGTGAAGGGGGTCTTTACTACTCCCATCCTTGTAAGGTGAAGGGGGTAAGTGAGCCCTGACAGCAAAATGCCCCAACAAGTTACAAACCATTCGAGAGCTGAGGTCATATAGAATCGACGTAGACCGTCGGCTTTTTCCTAGGTCTTTTGTGCCGCGAGATATGAGGAATTTTATGTACTTCATGTGTCAACTAATTTTGTGTCCTCACTTTCTGCTCTCCAAAAGAATGCTACGAGAAAGTCGACGGTCTACGTCTGCTAATGAAGACTTGCTCTGTAACGCAGATAGATAACCAGCAGATTAGGTCTTCGTTTGGCAGAAATTTGCTGTTGAAAATGAACATGATTTCAGGTAAAATGCAGTGTATCTCTCGATAAAGGGCGGCTAGAAAGAATTCGACGGTCTACGTCGAGTCCCCTTTTCCTAAGCTTTCGAATGGTATATAGACTGCTGAGCGAAAAAACTTGCCAGTTTTTAAAAATGGTGTGGAGGTATTTACTATTAGCTTGCTCCACCCAGCTCCCCTAATGTATTGGCTTTTATCGGTCACCAGAGCAAGTGCTTTTTAGAGCCGGGAAGCAGAAAAGCCCTAACATGCTTCACACCGTTCGAAAGCTGAGATTATGGAGAATCGACGTAGACCGTCTCTTTTTTCATAGCTTTTCTGTAGAGCGAGATACGAGCGATTTTATACGCCTACTCACCAGCTAATTTTGTGTAATTATTTTGTAATTTATTTTTGAAGGAAAGAACAAAGATTAAAAAAAAGAGACGGTCTACGTTTACTGGCAAGGTCTTGCTCTGTGATGCAGTTAGAAAATCAGGCACCTTTATCCATTCTTCACGCAGAAATTTCTCGACAAAAACACACATCTTTTTGGCTAAAATCCCGTGTAACTCTAAGTAGAGGGGAGCTAGAGAAAAAGAGACGGTCTACGTCAAATCCATTTTTTGTGGGCTTTCTAATGGTGTACAGGTTGTCGGGTGAAAAAACTTGTGGTTTCTTAAAAATGAGGTGGAGATATTCAATAGTAACTTGCTCCACCCCGCTCCGGCTTTCTATGGGTTGCCGGAGCAAGACTTTTTTGGACTGGGAAAGCTTTGTGCTCCAACACCTTATAAACCATTCGATAGCTAAGAACGCGAGGAATCGACGTAGACCGTCTCTTTTTTCGTAGCTTCTCTGTGAAGCGAGATACGAGCAGTTTTATCTAGCTACAATATCAGCCAATTTTGGATAATTATACTTTCCAACCAAGAAGGTCTTTTTCGAACTTTTATATATGAATCGAAAGCATGAAAAACGAGTAATCTGACTGTTGTTTTGTTTGTTATTATTCTCTCTAGTGAAAAAAGATTTGGTATGTTTTTTTGTCAGTAAACATGCATCCATCGCTAGTCGGTTCAGATTTTTCTACTCTTGCTCAACTCTTTTTTGCAAAGTATGTATTCATTGATACAATGTTAATTATTTGAAAAATTACCTTTTACTTTTTGATTACGTTTCGTTATCAACGCCCTTTGAGCGCGCAGAAGGTCTCAAGCATGCGTTTTTTAACGAAACGTTGTTGATTCGATACTCTCTTGCAGTCTTGATGTCTGAGGAGAAGAGCAGCTGGCCTTTCCAAACAAAAGTTCCGTTGTAATAGCTGTTTGCCTTGATTAGTCTCAACCTCAGGTGAAAGGGGTCAGCCAGATGCCGGCCCTAAAATGAAGGGGGTCAGAGAAATTTCTCCACCTTTCGCATCTATGGATCGAAACATATGTTTGCAAAATTTTAGCTGAATCGGTGGAGCGACGCGCATTTCTATAACCTACATACCCTCCAAACTGACAATTTTTGAGTTTTATCAATAATGAGATACCGATATATACTCACATGGATAAGTTCAGAATTTGGTCTAGAATCCAAACAAGCTGTATCATTGCACTCGCCTTCAAAGGTTGATCTCAAAAAGAAATGTTCATAATTTGGGCAGCGGCCATCTGGAAGGAGTTTTGAGCGTCAAAAAGTGCGAATTTGTTAAGCATCCTGTGAGGCATATTCCACGGAGAGGATTCCTGACCATGGGAAAATCTCAAAAACCGTCTTCTATTCAACGGAGCGAACGAGGGCATCTTCGGAATTACGTGTTACACTGCTGAGTGTACAGTACAAACTTTCCATAAAAATTATATCCTGCTCTCCTATCAAGGACACTGAATGAAGCTTAGCACCAAATAATAAGACGGATCTCGCAAGACGTTTAACATGCCACATTTAGACGCTTTTCATAGAAATCTGCTATCAGTACCAACTGCCTCTCATCCCATTCTTCGTCGACTACGAGAATGTCTCCGACAGCCTCGGTATCAATACCAATCCGTCTGCTCAATTTAACGAGGGGTGGAACCACATTATGTGAGGACATTGGCTTACTGCAGCAAGGACATAGAGCAGCGTTATAGCTGCTCTATCTTCCCCGTATTTCTCCAGTTGGGAAGGAGATCCGACAAGGCTGCACACTCTCGCCGAAGCTATTCATCGCGGCCTTGTAATGGCTGATTAGTCACTGGACTAGGAAAAGACGGATACAGCTGATGATAGATTCCTCTCAAACTTTGTTCTGAAGACAAGTCATTCTTTTTGACCAATCAATAAAGCAAAGGTAAATGCTGAAGCCAACGAGGTAATGAAGAGTCACAGAAAAGAGGATCAGATTGCGAAAAAATCGTCAAAGATTCAGTTCTGGAAAGAGGCCCTAGATGAAGGAACTGAACTGGAAGACGCCCCCATTGAGACGTCTTAGGCCTAAGGCATACCTCGCGCCATTCCGGTAGCTACGCAATTTGGCACAACGGCGACTCTTCGTTATTCGTTGTTAAGGCGCTGCCTTTAGTCAGAACTTGATACGTTTGCAACGACTTACACAAGCTACCCAAATGTGCGTTCGAGAAGCGCGCACGATAGATTTGTAGAAATAGGGCAGATCACCAAGTCGCGTGAAATTGGCGAATCAGCGAAATCGCGTGAAGTATGCCTTAGGCCTTATGGAAAACAATGTGAGGGAACTACTCAAGAAAGTAGCCCCGCCTTTAAGCTCCTGTAGAAAGCCACAAAAGCAGAGCTTTGAAACCACTTGATCAATTCGACCACTATCCTGCGCTTTGTACGCAACTGAAGCCTGAGCCGATACTACAGCCAGTCGAAAGTTAAG